CTGTCGAACACCTGGTGAACTCAGGTTACACAACTTCACCAGAGTTTTACTTTAAGGTAAGGTCGACTGATACATGAGGCGTTATGTTTCTACACTTGTGTATGGCGAAGACGCTAGCGACTCATCAATAGAATTCTAAGCTCTATATGTAGAAAAGTTGGGTCCAGTCTATTTTCTACCATGGTCTCAAACTATTCTCTATTTTTAGTGAGTAATTCACTATTGTCATTCTCACATGTTCCTTTCGTGTATCTTACTGTTTTCCTCTCACCATCTTCATACTTGTCCAGTGGACGATCAATTACCTTGTTTCTCATCGAATAACAATTTTCACTCTATAAAATTTCAAACCCTTACTTCTATTGTGTTATTAATTAATGTGCGATTTCTTTCTGTCTTAAGAATTCACTTCTGAGTAACTACATTAATTATGACACAAACCGCTATTATTCAATTGTAGGTTGTTATAAGTTTAAATACGATTTTACAGTATTTTGACTGGACACTAGTAACTAGTGTGATGTGTCTAGTCTTCTGATCGATGCAAACTGAATTCCATCAGTCATGTTTGCAATGTGGCCACCATTCTAGGTAGCTCGCCATCACGGTGCACATTGATTTGATGATATTAGATGGTCGGCAGGAAGCCCTGCTCTACCTAGATTTCGAACTAGCGTCACCCAGTGCTGCAGAAGGGACATGAGTTCCTTCGAGGTTACAGATACGCCTTGTTGACTGGTGAGTGCCAATTAGCACGAAACCTAGGTCCAAGGCTTCCCGCCGATCGCCTCCAACCATCTAATACTATTCTACAGTCTTAGAAGATGACTTCGTCGATACAGGAGATTTTCATCAAAATTCAAAGTCGTCTGGTGTCACAGAATATCAAAACAATAAATGCCAGATAGAGTGAACCTATAATCTACTCTAAGCTTTATGAACATAATTCCACTATTGACATAAGAAGTTGTGAGTGATTCCTAGTCCCTTCACCATTATTCCAATTGAATCTATCATCTCAGACATGAAAGGCAGGAGCATGCGATCGCAGAACCACTCTCATAACAATAATAATATTGACAATAGTTTGACTGTAAACAATAAAGACTTACATAAGTACTGAAAGGGTAAGAATGATTTTCATAATAACAATCAGTGGTTAGGACTCTCGCCGACCATGCACATGGTCCGGAGTTCGATCCCCTGCCGACGCACACCTGATATCTATGGTCAGCCTGCAAAATTTGGGCTACAGATATCACATGCTGAAAACTCCATACCTGTACCAAAAAATACGGTGTGGAATCAAGCTGTAATCAAAATCAAAAAATCAAATCACTAAACAACTGTCTTTAAGATTTAAAATCAGACTTTCATATGTATATACACAGGCATTATATAAAGGAAGCCGGAACTAAACAGATTTTTATAGTACATATGTGTGCACGGATCCACCCATGGAAATAGAATATGTTCAACTTAACATTTCTTTGTGTGATAGAAGTAATACTGTTGCATACAGACCGGTTAGTTCCTTTTCTTGGGGTTTGGGAGGTAAAAATCTAAAGAAAGTATTACTAAACACCCTCCACCCTCAAAAAAAGGAAAAAAAAACTAGTCAAACCACCCAAAAAAATGAAAAACAGGCCACCACTTCTTTTAAACTATTTTCATTCTCTTGAATCTCTATTCTTTCTATTATTTTAATAAACCTTTATTACTATAATTTATCCCAACTCCAGATTATTATTATTACTAGGTGTTTCCTCTGTGTATAGAATTCTTAAAAGGAAGTACACTGGATATCTTGTAAAAATATGCATATAGACACGTATAAATGGCACTTCTTTAATAGAAAAAAAAATAAGCAAGAATCGTAAAGGAAATGAAACTGTTAGATTTAAAACTCCCCTAAATCCCATTATTTTTTTTCTTTTTAAATATGAAGGGAAGTGCTGCGAAAAAAGGAAGTAACCTGCCTACCTGCTTACTGGTCTACAGATGAGATAGAAAAACTAGCTAGCCACTCAAGTGTACAGCTTAAGGACTTACACTATCAAAATACACATAAGCTCATTGTTTCCTGTTACATATACCTTGTCTTACACAAAAGGATAACCATGAATACATCAAGAGTTGTTTGATGAATAAGGCTTACTGTCTATAAAAGCTCTCTATGTGGTAAAATAAATCACTTTTTTTTACTATATGATAGCTTTCTAGAATGAACAATAATTTCTCTTAATTTTTAAGCATTGGTTTTGTAGGGAATTTTTGTTTAATTGGTTGGAGGTGAGGCGGTAACTCTTCGAAGAAGACACTGCGAAGTGGTCGAGCTATGTCATGAATTGGCAGAAGTTAGAACTTATGCGCTGTCCAGTGGGTCGGGTTCCCAGTGACTTGATGGTCGTCTACGAGCTTGCTGGCCTTGTAACCAGGTCCTGGGTTCGAACCCCAGTGGGTTTGTACTGCTGAAGAGTCCCAAACTGGCAGAATGAAACAGCTGTCAGCTCATGATGAAATCCTCCAAACCAATTTCTCTAAATATTCCTAAAATCTGATATAGGATGTAAGCGATCAGTATTCATGACAGTCCACGTAAAATAAGTATAGCGTGTATGGTTTCACCTACGGCATTGGATTATCAGCCATTGTAGATTTCATCACGAACCAACATCCATTTAAAGAATCGTTGAAAACCTGAATGGATGTCGTGAAATTGTAATGAAAAGTCATCGTCATTGAGTCAAATTCACAATTTTGCAATCTACACAGCTAGAAAGGTTAGATCTCATCATAGTTTTCTATGGAAACCAAAACTATTCAGATGACAAAATGTGACCTGCTTGAAACCTTAAGCGATAATCAAAAAAGTTTGCATGAAAATATATACTACTGATTGACTGAGATGAGTAGTTGGACACAATCCATATCAACCAGTAGTGCTTGCTAGCCATTATATATATATATATATATATATATATATATATATATATATAACTATTTTTTCTATTCCTTTACATTCCTAGTGGAACATAGAGCTTTAAGCTAGAAGTTTTAAGTTTCGGTAGCAGTGGTATTCATTTTTACGTGATGGGGTTTCTAACCTCATGCCCAACCTTCCTTATTTACCAGTCTTATTACTGGCTTAGAGAGGTTTTAGGAGTGCGTCGGCCGGGGATCGAACCCCAAACCACCTGCGTGGTTGGCGGGCATTTTACCACTGTGCCACCGACGCACATGTATTATACTATGATCCAGAATAATAAAGGACACAATAGTCACAATTAAAACTCAAATCAACATATCGTGTTTCCAAGTTACACGTCAACATGATTAATAATAACCATTGGGCATGAATTTTCTTAATTTGTATATTCTCAATCTGAAAATGAAAGTCATTCAGAAGTAATCATTTGTTGAATACATATGCCACCTAAATTATTTAAGAACTTTCATGAGCCTTAATAAAATAGTTGCTAATCTAACCTCAGAGCTGGTACAAAATGTGTGTTTGACAGTTACCAAACTGTGCCATCTATAGTGCCGGTTTTATTCTTGTTAGGAGAAGCAACATGATGAGCAGTAACAAAGTTAGGCGTAGAAAGTCAGATGAGTTCGTGAAGTCCAATTGATTGAGGTAGATAGGACATACGTTATGCATACCGTATACAGTGTTAGCTGAAGTAGTCTTAAGTTATAAGAAAGTTAGGGGTGATCATACTAAAAACTGGCATCAGTCGAGGAAGCCTTTGACTATTAGTTTGAACCAAATAAAGAAGTTCAGACAGCCTGGTCTGTGGTCGTCAAAATGTTGAAGACTCTTGCAGAAATGACTAAGAATCGTTCATTGCTCTTCATTTAATTATTCCTTCTAGTTCATGTTTTATCTATTGCAGGTAGCATCATTCCATAATTATCCACCTGTTTTGTGAGGTTCCCCAAAGTGAAAGTTTGTCGGTCAATCAGACACTGATCATGTGAATACCTCTTAAAGACTGCCAGTCTCATGTTAAAAGAAAATTTAGATGAACATCAGTTTCTGCCAATCATGTGAACGTATAAATTCAAAATATGATATTGCTTTCATTTTTAACTAACACTAGCCATGGAATCCGGGATGCGCACTTTGTCCTATTCAGGACTCGTCACTGAATGTGCCTGAAATCCCCTGTGAGTGATGGTGTTCCCACTGATACTAGAAGCTACCATTCATCGTTTCAAACACCAAACCACGAGAGGCAACTTTTGTGCAACAGAGATAAATTCCTGTTTTAAGTGAATTTCCATTTTCCCAGTTGATTAGTCCGGAATGGTTTACCAAAAACAGGACAAAATACGCACCCTAGATTTCAATGCTAGTCACCATCCAAGAAATAACATTATATTAACTGTCAGATATCTTCGAGGCGCCCGTACCAGGTGTCAACATTTCAAAATTTCGGTCTAATCAATCAACGGGAAAAGCAAAAATTGACTTAAACGAAATAATAACCTTCAGGTAAGTGTAGAACTTGACCATTGTGGTGGAATGTAATTCCATATTAGATAAGTTTATTTTAAATATCACACAGAGATGCAATATTAACAGTCCGAGTCCAGATCTCAGAGGGAATATCATTTCCTTCGAGGATGTAGATATACGTCTTGCTGACGATCATCAACAACCACGAAGTTAAAGCCCAGGGCTTCTTATCTACTTGCGCCTCCAACTAACATCAGCTTCAATATCTAAAAAAGAACATGCGGGGTAGCAGTGAACTTGAATTCCTCACCAAATATATATATGTACCTTCTTCCCCTTTCTTATCTTAATTCTCCCCCCTAAAAATACTTTCTAATACTGTCCGTAAAACCTTGTAATAAAATGAAGGAAAACATTTCTTTAAGTATTTTATATTCAAAACTTTCAGCAGTAGCAGGTATAGAATGACAAAAAAGGCATTTTATCACAGAAAAATTTAAGTAATTTCAATTTCTTAAGAAAAAATATTTTGAATGAAAAGACGAAAAGAAAAATTATGTTAAAAAAACAACACAATACAATAAATCAGGATGCAGTATTGTGAAGTTAATACAAAGAAGGATGTACATATATGAATTTACATTTGAAATATAATATGAATGTATGTATGCATATTATAAAATAAAATTTTCAGTTAGTCATTGTCTCTCACTAGTGAATGATTCACTTCTGAAGACCAACTATTTTGTTCAATACATTCAGTCATCCAGGTATCTTTAACAAAATGTGGAACACGAGTAAATTGATTTATCCAGCCAATGATTGTTGAATAATTTTCATTTAGCCAAGAATTCAACTCCACTTGTTGCGACGATGTCAATGAAGACGACAGCTTTAGAATAGAATAGAACAGAAAAGGAAATTAAAGCAAAATTCCAGAGAAAAACTATGCATAATACTGACTGACTAACTGAGATGATTAAAACAATTAGTCCCTTTGATAAATTTGAATAATGCATTAAGAAGACAAATTTCGCGAGATGATATCATTTCGTAGTTTCTTTACAACCGCTTTACAACTAACATGGTTAACAATAATAAAATAAAGTTCATGACAATTACTCAGTTAAATAAAAACAAAAGTACATACTACTTCAGGGACATAAATTTTCTAATTTATTAGTAAGTTAACTGGTAGGACAAAGTTTTCATCAAATAAATTATCATCAAGTCCCTTATTGGAATATTTGATCTACACTCAATAAATCATGAACTTGAGTTCCACAACATCAACTGAGGTTGAAATATCGAGTTAGTGCGTCATATTGTCTACTATACAAAATCTCAATACGATCGAATAAACCCGCAAGATACCTTCACCTATTTTTGCCTTAAGAGACGATATTTTGGGGATAAGGTTAATTATAGTTTCGACTGCATGCAAGCATTACGGCTTGATTGTCACAACACTACATTCCAAGTGACTGACTGGTTTCAACATAGAACTCTGCACCGATGTGCGGCATTTCGAGTCGCCACACTCCATGTAGCACACAAAGCAAGAGAAGAAGGTAAAAAGAAACGTAAAATAGAGACAGTAAACAGAGATATCAGGCAAAAGAATAGTAATATCAAAGGACAATATAGTTTCATTGGGTATTATAAGTCACAAGGAGCGGGTGCATCTGCGCCATTGAGAACGACTTTGAGCCATATAACCAATTGTCTTCAGCCTTCAATGATATTCACCTTCCCGAGGACCTTAACCAGGAAGTCTACACCTCCCTACGTGGCTGGCTTAAACTAACTGTTGTGGATTTCATTGACTGCTGAGGCCATGTTTTGGTTTGACCGCCACTAGCTGTTTTCCAGCTTGACCATATGTCAGCTAACTTTGCCCTTCGAGGGAGGCGATGCTTAGGCATACGTGTAGCACCTATCCTAACAATCGCAGTCGATGTAGCTTCAGAGCCTAATTAATTGATTTCCCATCTTTAACTAGCACTCGTTGCCTAACCTCAATATTTCTCACCCTACTATACACACAAGAGATAGAACGCAGGCACCTATGATCAAAGACAGCTAGCTTTTTCATGTCCTCTACTCTCAGTGGCCAGGTCTCACAGCCATAAAGGAGGATGGAGCGAACTGCTGAGCAGTACACACGTCCTTTGGTCGATAGCCGAATATCACGTCTACGCCAGAGACGGCGTAAACTGGCGTATGCGAAACGAGCCTTCTGTATCCGTTCTAAAATTTCGTCAGCGATCAGCCCGTTGGGGCTGATGCAAGTTCCCAAATAAGTGAAGTGGTCAACGCGCTCTACCACTTCACTCCCTATTTCTAAGCTAGGAGTCGATGCAGTTCAGAGTCCTGTAGCATCATCTTACATTTGGCGGGAGCGAATCGCATGCCGAACATTATCAGATTACACCTCAAGGTGTTCAGAAGACTCTGCATTTTGTACTACATTCCAAACCCAATAAGCTATGATCAACACAGAGACGTGTCTAGTTCGTTTACTAAAATAGATGACGTTGTCAAACCTGCCTAATGAAATGTCTATTACAAGACAAACAGCTCATTAAGTAAGTTTCATTGAAAGCCATGATATTATGGGAATGATGTATAAATGATTAATTGAAGGAGTGATATAGGGCTTCAGCAACACATCTCCATTTCATCTTTTTTAAGTGGCTACGAGAGCGCCTACAAGCCTTTATTTTCTCCTCACACGATCTTATGCACGTCATCGTCGGACGCCTGACTCGTCACCTGCTTCCCATTCGGGTTCCATCAGATGACCAGGAGCACGATATTCTCCAAAGGTATCCTTCAACGTTTGTCAAATCTACTGCCATCCCCTCCTGCCTATTTGTTAGGTGGCAGGTCCATGGATGGTTCTTTGCAAGAGTTGCTTTATTGCTTATCTTTTCTGACAATCTCATCTTCATTCAATATCGAGCAAGGGCAGCTGCTGATGAATATCTACAGTAGCCTGTTGGAAATGCTTTCGGTGACGCTCGTGCTGCATCCTAACATGTCCCCACAGCTAGTATTAATTCAAAGTACTCAAGTCGTAATAAAAACAAAGGTGAAAAATACACGAAAACACTGATAAACTTACCATTACAATATGTGTTGGATTGATACACCACTTGTTATTAATTGATCTCACACAATCAGTAGTATGCGAATCCACAGATAAAAAATTATGATAAGCCGAATTTAGAAGTGACTGTAAATTAGAAATTGACTCAGATTTATCAATACAAATTGGTCCTATACACAGACAACCGAGTCTACGCATATCAGTTATCATTAATTGTTGTTGCAGTTCTAAAGCGAATGAATCGACCGTCTGTTCCTCTTTATTTGGATTAAATATTGGACGGATAAGGGCTAAAATATATCCTGTCATTGGATGTAGAACATCAGTATCTCCTTTAAATTCATTTAACAAAAGCTTTAACTTTGAATAATGATTGAGTTTAGGTACCTGATGGGATTCAAATAAATAAGGGAGGAGTCACATAGACAACATTAACAATAAAGACAACATAAATACCAGGGGCTAACCAGTTCAAAACAGTCAGTTCTTAAAAACATAAGCGAATAATGCTGCGGTGCTTGAAACGATGGATGCAGGATTCGAGTCTTAGTAGAAAAAACATCAATCACTAGGAATTCAGGTGCATCCAGTCAACGAGTTCCAAGTAGGACGAAATACAGAGCATCCTGGATTCCATTGCTAGGCACCATCAACTAAAATAACTTCATGTCAATCATTAGACATTGTGAAAGCGTCCGTACTAAAAGCTGGCATGTCAACAGAGAATGAGCATTTCAATCCAATCAATCAACGGGAGATGGGAATTAACCTGAAAACGACTGAGTGTCATTAAGGTAACAACAGACAACTCATACCTCACTGTCAGAGTACGCTGAAATCCACGAATGTGATACATACTTGTCACATCTGGGTAGCAAAAACAGTAGAACAACAGTGTAAATTTTTATGTCCCAATTCCACTTTACCCGACGGTGTAACACACACTGGTAAGCAACACTACCAACTGGGCACATAGAAGATGACTTCCTTTGGGATTTGATTGGATCATTTCGATTTAGTCAGTTGGTTTGGTGGTAGAGATTGTTTGATAAGGTTCCATAAATATTAATTTTTCTTGAAGACGATCATAAGACATTCCCCCTCTCCTTTCCTTACGGTAAGAGTACTTCAGTGTATCCTGGCTCTTTTTAGTGATGTTTGTATACAACTCCTTTTCGTGTGCAGTTCGGTTGTTGCTGTTGTAATTAAGTATTTGACCTGCATGAGTTGATTCTTTGCATACTTTAGTCTCTAATCTTCCTTTGCTTGTTTGCTTGACTAAGATGTTTACAAATGGAACTTCGTCTTCAGATTCCCCCCTCTCTTGTAAAATTGGATGTGTGTCGAGGATGTTGTTGATTAGGTCGTGAAGGTTTTCTGGACCGCTTAGTTCACTCGCTAGCCGGTGAGTGGATAGCAAGCCCAGTAAAGAGGTAAGGGGTTGATCGTAAGGATGGCAACCCCCACATCGAAAAAGAAAAAAGTAGCAACTGTTACTGAAACTCCAAAACTCAAGGTCAACTTGCAGTGCAAAGGAATGGAAAAAAGTGATTTTGCTTGGTCAACAATCACGGCCTCTCAGCTAATCTAGTTAACTTGAAAAGAATGCTGAAAATACATTCACACCTGCTTCAGATGATACATCAAGATGCAATAGTCTTCATCGAATAACTTCATCTCTACTATACGTATTCGATCTTTTACATAAAGTTTTATCAAACAAAGACAATTTAAAGAAGTATTTCAGTGTTATGTTGCACAATAAATAATTTCAATTCCATGCAGTTGGCTATGAACCACTTTTATCGTGTGAAGGTTAGCGTTACTTCCTAGCTACCCAAACTTCGGTAGGTGGAAAGGGGCTCAAACCTGTGACCTGCTGTTTGGAAGTTAAGTGCCTAGACCAATGAGCCACAGTTCCACACATTTCAATGTGTAATATTATCCGTTTATTTGGCGCATGACATCGCACGTCACAAACGGTTCCTATAAATATGATTAACTTAAACCAATCCACCACACTCTCTGTCTAACCCCATCCCCCATAAACCACATGGTACGATCAAGAGTGGGTGAACTTCGGTCTTCATATAGAAATTCTCTCATGTGTTCACGCATTCATAGCCTCTGGCTTCACCCACCATAGGTGTTCCTCACAAAAGTGAAAGGCCGAATGCGAACGTCCAGTGCTTAAAACCGGACTGGTAAACATCCTGGCCTACCTAAGGCAGCTGGAGAATCCTGATTCCAAACCTGTGGTTTACGTGAGCTCCGAAATCCGAAAGGCATATTAACCCCTTTTTGGTTGCCATCAGCCATGGGAATATAGTTCCTGACGCTGCTCTACTACACTGTGGATCAGACTTCAAGTACAAGGCTTGGGGGTGGCCCCTTGAGATAACCATCCGGGTAGTCTCGAGATTTTGTGTGGCACATCTCTTGGGGCTCATTATGTACCAATTTTGTGTCTTAACATATAAATACGTGTGGTGTGTGCTACTGGAGAGATTTTGTCAGTAGTATATTGTGAGGTGCCTTCTGTGAGAATAACTCGCTAAGCGGACAGTAAGCACAATAAAGCGAGAAGATTCGGCGTGAGAATGGGGAATAAAATTAAAACAATAATAACAAGTATTAGGTTTGTGACGATAAACAAATAGTCACTATTCCTGAACTGATATAAATTGAGTCTTCAACAGAAAATATTGCTTAAAAACTCGGCAGATCAAACTGCCACATTTCACAAAAGTGCGCATAAATATATGAAACTATAATAAACGGAGATATATAGGAGAAATATTAATTACATGGAGAATAATGAGGACCCAATAGATCTGGGAGATCATAAAAAGTGAATATACATCTGCTCCATTGGAAGTGATTTAAAGCCATACCACAGACAGTATCGAGCCACTGGTTCACAGAGCCTTGAGGATCGCACCTCTCCCTAAGCCTCAAATCAACAATCGAAAAATTCATGTACTAGTACCAGTTTTGACCACCAGAACATTATCTTCTCTTTATTTTATTCCATCCCTTACCAATAGTTGAACATAGGGTGTCAAGCTTGCGCCTTCGAAGTTTCAGTAGCAGCGGTGTTTATTTATTACGGGGCGCGATTGCTAGCCTCACGCCCAACCTTGCCCCTCTCTACCGGGCTAACTATCGGCTATGCGAGGTTGAGAAGTGCGTGTGTGTGTGAGGATTGGAGTCTAGACCACGTGAGTGGCTAACGAGTGCTCTACCACTATTGAACCACCAACGCACCACCAAAACATATATAAATTAATAAGAAAAAATATTATAATTGAAATCCAATAAACATACAACTAGTTTCGATGTTGTTTTATTTTCTTCATCAGTTGACGTGGAACAAGAAATATCATCGAAAACTAATTTTAACTCATCCGATGTAGTTGGCTCTCTGTAACTGTCACCAAATTTATCGTAGTCTTGAGCTAATTTATCAGCAACAGAAGGCCGCATTGAATACATATCTTTTGGTTTCCAGGCTAGTAATGACTTCTTATTGAAACAATCAATTAACCAATTTAAGCGAACCACATTATGCTTAATGACAGGTAAAGTGGGTTTCCGAGAAGTACTCGGATAATTCAATAGATTTTTAACCTAAAATAAAGAAATGCAGTTATTGTATAGAAAAATAGCACTTTCAAAACTTTATAACAAAAAATTAATATTAGTATAATCTAACTTGAAACCAATCAAATCAGTCCTGCAAACAAACATTAGAAAGTTAATTTAATGCTCACTAGCGACTGGGTATAGGCTAAAGTCGCCTGAAGTTTTAGTGAGAAGTCGTGGCCAGTGGGATCCACCAAGTCGGATGTAGAGACGGATTCTAGCCGACGACATTGGCTGGTGAATTGATATCTGTTAGAGTCCATGTGCCATTGAAGCCATTACAATGACTGAATAATCAACTAGCTTATCTCTTAACTAGAAGGTCATGGGTGGGTACTGATGAAGGGTCCTGAACTAAGACGAAACAACTGTCAAATACTGTCTGGTTTTTATTGATTCCCTGTGATCCGTGATCTAACTTGAATTATTTCGTTATTAAAAGAAAAATTTGTTCAAAATTCATCTCAAGGATAACAATATTTGATGTAAAGGTGAACCAGGTAAAACCACAAAACGCCCTAACAACTATGTACAATAAGTCACCACTTAGTTTATGTAGGTTTGAATGGTGGTGCGACTTTCTAATTCATACACCAGAGTTTATTTGTCAGTGATCCACAGATTATACTTTAAGAAAGTACTTTCACACTATGCATGCGAATGAGCCGACAATAGTAAGACTGAGTTAAGTAATATTTACAGTATGGACAGCAAGGAGATAACGAACTAATATTTACTGAACATTATTAGGCAGGAAAAGATAAGGAAAACAACCACTCTGTGAGGAATACAAACCAAATCTAGGGTAAACACAAATATACAGTGACGACATGAGATAACAGTTGCCTTACATAAGGAACTTTCATGGACTATGAGATCCCGCCGCAGTGCATGTATGATAACGTATATATATATAGCTGGTATCACAATTGCCCGTAATCTCTTACATACTTCTCGCACGATACTCTCCATATCACCGTCGGAGGACCAACTCGTCGTTTCCTAATCGGATTCCACTTGAGCTATGGACTGGCGCGCGATGTCATTCAACGGTTTCCTCAGAGCGTGTCCGGTCCATTTCCACTTTCTCCTACATATTTGTTGAACGATAGGTTCTTGGTTAGTTTGTTGCCAGAGTTTAGTGCTGCTAATTCTTTCTGGCCATTTGATCTTCAGTATGCAGCCAGCGAATTGGGCAGCTGTTGATGAAAGTCTGCAACCTGTTGGAAATCCTTTTCGTTACACGTCATGTTTCTCACCCGTATAGAAGGTCCACCTTGACATTGGTGTTGAAAATCCGGATTTTGTTCTTTATGCTGAATGCGGTAGATTTCCAAACCGACTTCAGATTGATGAAGGTGTACCTTGACTTTTTGATCCTGACTTTGACATCTTCATCCGTTCCGACTGCCTGTGGTTGAAGCGATGCTTTACACTACCATAGATTATTTATTTGTATATTCCTGCCTTTCTTGTTGTCATAAATTAGATCTGTTCTTAAAGGTGATGGAAGTTACTTTGTTGCGTTTGTATTTATAAGGATTTGCTCACAAATATCATATTTTAATCACAGGAGTACAATTTTATTTTATTAAAAACCTCGCCTAGTTTACTAGATAGCTAGTTTTCTAGCTAGTCCCAAGCCTGGGTAAAGAGAGAGGGTTGGGCGTGGGGCTAATGACCCTACCTGAGAAAACCAATTAAACTGCTACAGAAACTTCAACGCACAATATATATATATATATATACGAATGCAAAGGTCGATAAAAAAATTCATTGAAAAGTTTCTACGCTGAATATTTTGTGGATGACTGAACACCATCATGAACGACTAACTCATTGGTGTTTGAAATGATGGGTACTGGACACCAACAGACGAGCCACAACAAAATCTCATAGTGCAAGGGCTGGGATACTGACCGGACGCCCAAACCGAAGCAGGTGGTTGCTTCAAGGAGTCAGTCCCCTCGCTGAGCTTCTGACTTGAAGTATGATCCCACAGGGAGTGGAGAACCATCAGAAACTACGTTCCTGTAGTTTCCAAAAACTGAAACTGGTCCATTAGGATTTTGGAACCCATATGCACAAGTCCAATTGTCAGCGCCATCTATTCACATTTACGCATTCACTTTCGTGAGGAACACTCAATTAACGAGTTCCAAACGAGACAAAATGAGTGTTAACCACCAAGACTACCAAACGAAGTAGTCATGAAGTTTTTTGAAAATAAAATGTAGGCCTTATTATACTTACTTTCAATGTAATTTTGTCAATAACAATACAAAATGTATTGGGAGATGGATTCTGGACAACGATACCACCATAAGCACGAATATTATTTTCATACTCCGATTTTTTCTCTAAATCAACATCATTTGACAGCCAAAGGCATATTTCATGACTTTCGAAATAATTTAACTGGAAAAAATAAATTAAATAAAAATTTATCCAAGTATTAATTATTGCGAGTGTATATTAAATGTCTGGAGGTAGATGCAATAAGCCTCGGTTTCGTGCTGGTTGGCACTCACCAAGTCAGCAAGGCGTGTATGCAACCTTGAAGAAACTCATGTCCCTTCTGAGATTCGAATCCGTGTCGCCCAGTATTGTAGGCAGAGACGTCACCACTGAGCTATTCGAACTGGCGATCGACCTCCTGTAGGACTGTATTGGATTAGACACACACTGTATTTGACTAGACACATTACACTAGTCACTAACTAGTGTTCAATCACAGTATCCAATACAGTCCTACAGAATATCAATCGCGAGCCTGAACAGCTCAATGGTAACGTCTCTGACTGCAGCACTGAGTAAAGCAGATTTGAATTTCAGAAGTGACATGAGTCCCTTCAAGGTTACAGATACGCCTTGCTGACTGACGAGTGCCAGTTAGCACGAAATTTAGGTCCAAGGCTTCTTGCTGATTGCCTCCAACCATCTAATATCAACTATTCAAAGTGCGCCATGATGGTCAGCCACCTAGTTTGGTAGCCATATTGCAAACTTGACTTATAGAATTCAGTCTGCACCAAACAAAGGTCTAGACACATTACATTAGTTATTAACTAGTGTCCAATCGAAAGTATTATGAGTGTAGTATATACTTCCTCGAAGGTTTGATCAAGTAATTGACGGGAGATAATTAAGTTCCAATAATGCCTAAGGTTTTAAATAGGTGCACAAAAATATCTTTTGGAAGAATCTAATGACAATCAGATGTAACATAAAGTACACATTTCATCTGAATATTGATACAGATATGCAGTTTAGATGAGGCTGTGCTTTTTAAAGCATTTTATAACTTCAAAGAAGAAGTTATAAAATAGAACAATCGGTAATCTTAAACACTTGAAAGAAAATTACCAGCGGTTTATAATAAATGTTTTTTTGGAATAATTTCTGAATTTATTATTATCGTTATCTTTTAGGATTCCTGATGAAACATACGGCCTCAGTAGCACATTACAATTTCACTCTGCTTTCTGGAGTCCTTTTTAACTGATTCAATATGTTTAGTGTCAATTCAAGTCTCTGAACAGTCGCTTTCAAAAAGCTATCCTTCAGTGCAATACGTAATAGGATTCTTCTAACTTAGCTGATCCCTATTGAACTTACTGCTAGTAGTGTTTCACTTGGAACCAAAAATGATAGTAATAATAATAATAATACTGTAGAATATGCTGTCCAAAAAAGATTTTATCTGTGAGGGGTAACAGGGTGTAGTGAGTAGTATTTACAACTTGAACAGAATATGTATCATTTTATGAAATTGTGTTATCACTATCATTTAAAATTGCACGAAAAAACCCTGAATATTACAGTGGGTGCGTACTTCCGAAGAGTCTCAAACAGAGACGAAACAACTTCCCAGTACTCCCAGGTTTTCCAATGGTTCTTTAAATGACACCAACTCCTAATCAAACCTGTAACCGATCAAATCCATGCAAACCAACACTTGAGAATAATTTATAACTATCGAAATGAATACAGCTGAAGCATATTTAACTGCAAATATATTTCACAAAAATACACTATGAAAAATATGCATGCATAAAACATACGTGTTTTTCAGAGATATCAACTCCTCGTCGCTGTTTAACAGGAGAGGATGTAGCCAAGGGTTGATCAACATCCATAGACTGTTCAGTTGTTTTTTGTTTTTCTTCTTCTATGCTTTCATCTAATGTATAATATCCACTACTTTGATTCATAATTGAGCTGTTATCAATAATACTGTTTGAGCTTGATAATGATGACAATTGTTGATCACTGACATTTTCTGTAAGTCCAGAAAATGTTGGCACAAGTGACAGTCGTTTTGTGGCTAATTTACCCTATGTAATTTAGAATAAAAACAGCTGTAATAATTATAATAGGCAATATACGAACATCGAAGTGTAACACCTTGACTTTTTTTTCTTAAAACGAATTGCTAAAACGCTAGAGGAAAAATGTTGAACTTGAAGAAAATAAAAGACAATTCAGCAAAGAAAATTTTCTTTATCGACGAAATCATCTTCAGAGGCTTTACAGTCGTATTTATATTTACCAAAAATGTATAGTAGTCCATTGTTGAGTAATAGGGGGGGGGTGACACAATTGATATAATTAATCAGAAGTGGCTTTAGAAGTACAAATAAATAAGTTGTAAATTACGTAGTACTCAACGGCACAAAGGAAGAAAGGGGTTAGAAATTTGATAAGGTTAAAGTTGTTATTGAGTGAGAAGAAAGGTAGTTAAGAGTCCATTTAACAAGGATGAAGAGCGTGAGAATGTACAAAAAGAACATGTGAGAGTGATAATAGTGAATTAATTATTAAAGTAAAAGCAAAATAATCATTAAAAATAAAAATAAAAAATTTACAGGGAACGACTAATGAAGACGTTAAGACCAAGGTAGAATAAGAGACTGGACAAACTTTTTCTATATACAGAGTTCAGGGTTGTATTGACAAATTGCCAACGCCTCAGCCATACACAAATGTCGAAACCTGACACCCTTTATACCATTTGGCCTCACCTTGTAGATAATTTGGGAAGACAACTCTCGTGGAGCTACGTGACTTCAGAGTTCACCAATTGCTCGAAAATTGAGCTAGTAACTAATTGTCTTGCATTGTCCTTTTGCTAACCATGCCGGATAATGTTCAGAGATACGTTTGGAAAGTGTGCAGTTTGTGTGGCCAATATAATTAGCTCCGCAAGAGCAGGTGAATTTATAAACACACATTGAAGTGGCTAAAAGTGGTAGTTTATCCTTCACACATCCATCGATCATTTGTCGGCTGTAGAAATTGATCAGTAGTTCAGCCGCAAAGAAGACTTCTCTTAGTGATCTGCATAGGCGATTCTTCAAGATCCCATCAGCGGTATCACCTTTAAATGCAACGTTCATAAACAGCAGTTTCTTCGGTACCATCTGGGCTCTTTAGGTTTTTGCTTTACCTTCATATTTTTCTCGATGAATCTTGGAGGATATCTATTTTCCGTGAGGATTTGTCTGAGTCGTTCCAGTTCCCCGTCCATTGTACCACTGGTACATATCCTTTTTTTAAACATCCAAAAAATGAAATTCCGAGTTCATCTCTGATTCCGCCGTAAACTAGATGGCATGGCAGTTGTTGAACTCCTTAGTTAGCATTTCGATGATAGTGTTTTCGTCACATATGATCAAAGTATCATCCATGCATCTTTGGTACATATGGAAACTATCGATAGTGGGAGTTGTAACATACTATTCTCTAGACTTGCCAAGAAGCAGTCTGCAAGTAAAGGACCCAATATTGAACTTAAAAAGAACAGTAAACGATAAGTGCATAACCGAAAAGGAAACAAGAACAAACACAAAGACAGAGTGTGTGGGTTTAACGTCCTAACAGAAAACAAATGCACCTACCTGTGTTTCACTATTCAACTGAAGCAATTCACTCATTGTCAGTGAATCACGCCAACTTTTATCATGACGTATAGCCACAACACGAGGAAATCGTAGTGTTAATCCAGCAGAATATGAATCACTTTGGATTAGTTCAGCACCATGAAGCTGTAAGTTATGAAAATAATAACTGATAAGGTTTATGCATGTTGATGATAATACGCATAATTGGTAACTTATCATTTTAATGAGACTACATAACATTTAAGTTGAAAGATGTTAAATAACTGATGACAACATAAACTCCACCAAATCGACTGACATATGAGAAACCTTAAAAGTTTAAGGCATAGACTAATAAGGTTTCTTGTCTAAGTGGTACTATGAATAACTTAGAAGAAAGCAACAAGATTAACTGTGATGCTTCTCTAAAGACAGAATTAGACGGCAGTTGATAATCAGTCATCAAACCAATCTATGAGTCGGTCGGTTTTCGACATAGAAATGCATAATATAGACAGTAAACAGAGGTGTGAGACAAAGGAATAGTAATAACGAAGAACAAAACAGTTTCATTGGAAATCATAAGTCACAAGGAGTGGATGCATCTGCACCAGCCATTGAGAACAATTTTGAGCCATGTCACCAATTGTTTCCAACCATTGGTTTTTACCGTCCAGAGGACCCCAACCACGAAGTCTACACCTTCCTACGTGGCTTAGACTAACTGTTGTAGATTTCATTGACTGGTGCCATGTTTTGGTTTGACCGCCGCTAGCTGTTTTCCAGCCTGACCCTATACCAGCTAGCATTGCCCGTCGAGGAAGGCGATGACTAGGCATACGTAACACATGTCCTAACCATCTCAGTCGATGTAATTTCACAGTCTCGTCTATTGATTCCCCCTCCTTACCTAGCACTCGACGCCTAACCTCGATATTGCTCACCTTATCATACCACTTCACGCGGGAGATAGAACGCAGACACCTATGATCGAAGACAGCTAATCTTTTCATGTCTTCTGCTCTCAATGGCCAGGTCTCACAGCCATAAAGGAGGACGGAGTATAATCTAACAAATAAAAGAACTCAAATCACTAGCAATCAAAGTAACTGAATAATGGAAATTAGCATACACACTAAACCAAACAAAATGACAGGAGATACTCGTCAGAAAAAGGTTAGGTAAAGTATATACATGACCCATTAACAAGTAGAAAGGAAATGCTAATTAAATCAGAATTACGTCATGGAGTAATAGGGTTTCACAGCCAATACATTGTATTGCACGTCAAGACTGATATAACATAAATAGACAGACACATAGAAAATTCAAAAAAGGAGTTTGTATTAGTGTATTATTAGAGTATTATTAGAGAACCATGGAATACCAAAATGTAATGAACAACCTATTTTCCTCTAATTTGAAAATCCCCCGTAGTAATGTACACAGAATCTCATTCAAAATAAAAAGGATAAGCCAGACACGCGTTGTCATTCAGTCAGAGTCGAGATCTAATAGTTGCACAACATTATAAGTACGAATTAGAAGGACAAAATAGTGAGTTATTGGGATCCCAATTACTAACTGGATGCTAAAATGCTAGTCGTGATATCTAATGGGTCTTGAGTTCGATTTCTTATAGAGATGAGTGTGTGCACAACCACATAGTAAGTGTCCACAGTGCCCCTTAGTATCCAACAGTTTACAATATGATAACCACTGATATGAAGAATTACAGTGAAATCAACCCATTCTTCCCCACTCACTCCCACAACCCGACGATGAGATAGTCGAAAGAATTCGTGTACCCAATGAACGATGCTGATGCTGTTGCGTTATCTGGGCTACTCATGAATTACTCATGAAGTCTGGATAAATAACCTCGACACAACTCTCTCACGTTTGTGCTTACCTCATAATTTAAGTAAGAGACTAACTTATGAATTCGGTCCAGTACCGACAGCATTTACACAAAATTCTGTTTTCAGAGTCAGTCATTCGTGCTTGAATTCTAGGCTCTAAACAATTCGACTCCATTGGTTTAGTCACTGCACCAACTTTTACCCTATAGTAACTTACAAGCCCTTATACATTAAAAGCAGCTGGTCGTCTAGTATCGTCATGATTGTCGAAGAGAATATAGTCTGGTTGCATTTTAAAATCTAACAACTTTCTAAAAAAAGAACAAATACAACAGAAATTCATTTAATTAAACAGTCAATATACACATAAATAAAATAAAATAAGAAACAAAAGGGAAAAATAATTTTTATTCACCTGTAGAACAAGTGAAGATTTCGGAGCAATCCATACATCTGGACGTTCTGTATTCACGCATAACCATTCCGTGGAATCAGTATTTGGATGTTTTCTATCATAGACCTTCCAATGTTTTCTTAATAAATTATCAATTTCTTTGAATTGTTTAATTGTTAATCCAGATTTCACCTATTAAAAAAAAGTATTTTTTTTTCTCTGCTAAACATCTGAATATTTCAAACAAACTAGGTTGTATTATTGTGGCTTATCCCTTAGTACCAATATTCAAATAAAATAGAATAAATAAGACTGAATGATACTTCCATCAGATTTTACTAATTGAACAAGGTTTGATTAGAAAATCTTGTGATTTATTGGGTGAAGTAGTCGATCATGGATCCAAGGTTCGAATCTTGCCCCATCCACTTCCGACTGGACAATTAGGTGGTAGTAATACTAGTAACATCACCTATCAAACGATAAATATAGCTCATAGACGGTCTATTCTGGTGAGACAATTTCTGATAATGATTAGCGAATCAAACACCAATCAAACGCCTATCAATAAATCACCATGTGTAGCTGATATCATAAAGAAACACAAAGAATAAATGAAATGACTAAATGAAAACTCATTATATGTAATAGCTACTACAAAAAACACCCGATAAACAATTTTGCGTGTTCATCTGAAAGCATATTTTAAATAGACAGTGCATTTCAATCCTCATTAGTTACCGAAATAATGAAATCAGGTACTCGATAACAGTTACAGAATCCTAATGACATCAAATTTATGAATGCAGAAAAATAAAACGATCTCCATTTGTTGGAAAATACGTAGCCACGGACAAGGAAATATCTTCAAGTATTGGCTTGTAGGGATTTGATTGGTTGGTTACAGGATTTCATCATGAGCTGACATTGGTTAGAGAACCATTGGAAAACCTTGGAGTACTGGAGAGCCGCTTCGTCCTAGTTTGGGACTCTTTAGCAGTACGCACCCAGCGGGGCTCGAACCCAGGACCTTCTGGTTACAAGGTGAGCTCAATCCAATGGCCCAGTAACCAGAAGGTCCTGGGTTCGAGCCCCGGTGGGTGCATACTGCTGAAAAGTCCCAAACTAGGATGAAACAGTTGTCCAGTGCTCCAAGGAAATATCTCCCAGCTATGATGCATAAAAGTGTTTATTATGATGCAATCAAATATTCACTTTTTACTCTTCACTATTATGATTGTTAGAACTCTTACCCAGTACACACACACACACATCTCTTATATACGATACTTATTGTGTGAGGGTTGACGATACTACCCAGTAGCTCAAACTGATGTAAAAGAATCAGGATTCGAATGTGGGATCTATTGGCCAAAAGCGGAGTGACTAATCCAATGAACCCCTATCTCCACATTTTAACTGGTATGACAGTCAAACGGGCAGCTTAATTCACACTAGACACGATTCATAACATAATAAGTGGCAAATTCCACTTGAGGTTCTTCGCAGTTTATAGTGCCGCTAAACTTATCAACGATTTAGCTTTCTTTATTTAGCAAATAATAAATGTCAACTGTTACCTTGATGAACTCAAAATATTACTAGCGACACAGTGAATTTGACTCTTTTTCGTTCTTCTTACTATAGAGTAAATTAATTCAAGGATTTCTGAAACACTCGTCATTTCGGTTAAATTTGAAAACCTAACAAATTCGTGAAAGCTCATTACAGTTTGAGAAGTTATAATTTGCAAATTACACAGTTCCAGGCGAAAATCATCCACGACTTTGTTTAGAAACTAAAAATATTCAGATCATTATGCGTGATTGGCTTGGCACCATAAAAATTGCATAAATTATGTGAGCGGTTTCCAACTACTCGTATTATTCAGTAGTATATAGCATCTTGCTAAAATATGCATAATTCAAATATTCCTTCCCTTAAAAGAATTGGCAAGAAATGTTTTAATACACCCTTAGTAGATACAATGGCTATGGCAGAATGCTCGTCAGCCATGTGAGAGGTCCGGATTCGATCCCCTGTAGACGCACTACTCATAAACCTTACCTAGTTTGCCATCCCTATAGTGATCCTGGAAATGTTGGACAACCTCACTCTGAAACTTCAAGTGTTGAAGTCCAATGTTCCACTTGGAATGAAAGAAATAAAAATCAACAACAACTTCAAATTGAAAAAATATCAACAGAATGCATACCTTGCAAAAAGTGTAAAACCGCGTTAATTTCACCTGTCCACTTGATGAATCAGCTGCTTCATACGCTTCATCACCACGAACTGCACATAAAAAATGACTGATTCGATTTCTAGCTAGCAATTTATTCCCATGATGATGAAAATAACCTCCAACAATTAAACAGTCTAAATCGGCTAGTAAACCATGTATATAATCCGGTTTAATTTTCCACCAACCACTATCATTTCTAACACCAGGTTGATAAGGTGATGGAGAACTGGCTATCTTGACAATAAGACCTTCTTGATGATTGTCAACAAGATGATTGAAGGCTTTTACAACTTCTGATTGACTTGGTGTGGAGATATACCATTTTGAAAGATATAGACAACCATTTACAACAGGGATAGGCTTGTAGTCTAATGCACTATCATCATCGGTATTACTACATTGTAAAAATGATTCCATATCCAATCCTGAGGTGTTCAACTGAAATATATCTAAGAGAAGTTTCTTACGCTCCAATAATGACTTTGAAGTTAATAGCTTGAATGAGAGGAATGAAAATAACAATAAGAATGGTTTCGAAATATGCATTTTAAACATAAACGAACAAGGATACTATTAGGTGGGAAATTAATACTTTACACACTTCACATTCAACACTATAAGTTAACACGTGAGTCAGTGGTTCAATTACCGGCCAACGCATACCTAAGCTTCGTTCACTTTACTGTCCATTAGCAAGCTCAAGACAAGGAGAGGTCGGACGTAATGCAAGCAACCCCGTCACGCAGAAACAACATCACAGCTACTGGAACTTCAAGGTTACAAGCCTGAAGCCCTAAATTCCATTCAGAAGTCAAAGAGTGAAGAGAAAAAAGGTGGCACAGTGGTTAGAACGCTCGTCAGCCATGCACATGGTCCAGTATTCGATCCCCGGCCAACGCACTCCTTTACCTCGCTCAGCCAGAAATAAAGCTGGTAAAGAGGAAAGGCTGCACATGAGGCTAGCCACCCCATCCTGTAAAAATAAACACTGCTACAGAAATTTCAAGCCACTAGCTTGAAGCCCTATGTTCCACTGGGAACGTAAAAGAATAAAAGAACGGAAAACTTTGGCAACACTCTACCATTTGTGCATGTGTTGCCATATATTAGAATTTGATTTTTTTTCAAGTTTTATCAGGAGCAGGCACCAGTTAGAAGGCCAGGGAATACTTGACAGTTATTTCATTCCAGTTTGGGACTCTTCCGCAAGATGCACCCACAGGGATTTGAATTCAGGACTTTCCTGTTACAAGGCAAGCTCGTAGAGCATTCAGCTACTAAGACGCGACACGATGACCCATGAATTTCAACTTCTACCAATTCATGATTTTAGCGCAACCACCAGCCAATGTCATCGGTGAGTATTTGTCTTTACACTTATGCTAGAAACTTTATACCACTCTATTCGACTATTATGTACTGATTAATATTAACAATTGTGATTATGACAACTCATCACTTTTGTTACTATCCTCTTTTGTGGATACAAAAATTTGTATGCAACCGTACAGCTAAAAAAAGTGGAATCTTCAAGAAGAGACTCTTCGCTGATGCCCTTATTTTGTTATTGTTTTATTCATTAATGCCGGGATGGAGATTATTCATGAATTAAAAGGTAGCAACGACCCTTCAATAGTCAAGAAACTTAATGGGGTTATTGTGGTATTCTATCAAGCTTGCCGTTGTAGTGAAATGATTGCGTTAGTAATCACAAGTATTCGAAATGGTTGTGGAAAGTATTACGACGGAAACACATATATCCCAATACGAAAACAATTTATCAGTTGAGCTTATCACTATTACTGATGCCTAACCACCAACCAACACTAACGGGAGAAATCTAAAGGGAAGTCAACCGTTTCATCTGTCTGACCCGGGCACCATCGTTTCAACTACAGACGCCACACATATGAGGAATTCAAAGCCAGCCAAGATAGGAAAAGCAAGACAGGCTTTTCTTACACCCAAATCGGTGTGGAAATCTACCGCACTCAGTGTAAAATTCAAGACTCGGATTATGAACACTAACATCATCAAGTCAGTGCTTCTATACGATTCAGAGACTTGGCTCATGCATCATGAAAACCATTTCCAACAGGTTGAGGATACTCATTAACAGAAGTCTTCCCTCCATACTGAATTTCAGATGACCAGAAAGGATGAGCAACAAGGTACTCTGCCAGACAACGAACCAACCAAGAAGGAAGTGGAGATAGATAGACCACACGCTAAGAAGACCGTAGAGTGGTATAATGAGCCAACGACGAGTTAGGCTTGGATCTGAGGGAGACACATGAAGAAGACCGGGTAAGGAGGAAATAAAAGTTCATTGACAACCGTCGAGTCAGATACAAATTACTAGACAGAACCGAGTGAAATGGAGATGTGCTGCTGAAATCTTATTTTCCACTCGGAATCCAAGGGAATTATTATTATTATTACAACATCAAGATTAAATAAATATACCTGTCCATTCAAATAGAGTATATCAAATACAACAAAACAAGGTTGATAATTATCAGTTTCAGGATTTTGATATCCACTGCGTTTCACATCGAATTTTGTCGGTTTTGACATAACTGAACTGGACCAATTACTGAATATCATCATTTCACCATCTAATATACAATTATCTACATGACTGGCAAAACCACAATGAAGTTGACCAGTTAATCTATCCGAATCTCGACAACCATCTTCACCATAACTTGCTGTCCATTCTAAACCATTTCTAGACCAATATCGATAAGAATTCTTTGATTTATGAAGCTGTTTAAAAAAAGAAAATTTAATCTCATTCACTATGTATTACAACAAGAAAAACAAAACGAAACTAAAACATACTGTTAAGTTAGTAAACACTGTCAATATTGAGTGATACTTTTAGTCACTTCCCCAAACAGCTGTTTAACTTATAATTTAGAAGTAAGCTGAAATAATATGCTGATTTATGCCATTCTAAAGAGATGGGAATAGCAGATAATGAGAAATATGTACTGCTCATATGCTGATACTTAGAAACTTAGCGATTTCTTAGAATAATCCCCCTTCTTCACGATAAGTATCGATGGACTTTCTCTTTCTTTAAAGTTCACTTGTACTAGAAACTATGAAACATATCATTCTCATTATTATGTTGCTGTTCCCTCGGGTTCCAAGTGGAACATAGGGCTTCAGCAGGAAGTCCACCTTTTATTCTGCTCTCTGCAGGTGTTTTTAGCTGCCTCCATGACTATCCATAAGCGTCTTTATTTCTTCCTCACAAGATCTCCCAATGTCACCTTCTTCAATCCTTATTCCAGTTTTACACGAGGACCTGACGAATGATGTAACTTGACGGTGGTCCTCTTCGCGTATGTTTAATCCATCTCTATTTCCTTCTGCATATTTGTTGGGCGACAGGTTTTTGGTTGGTTCATTGCCTGAGAGTTTCTTTTTGTCTATCCTTTCTGATCGGCCACCTGATCCTCGGTGTCGAACCACAGGCGGCACCTGCCGATGAAAGTTTATAGTAGCCCGCTGGAAAAGCCCCCCATGACACTCCATCTCTCTGAACCGTATAGAAGAACTGACTTGATATTGGTGTTGTGAATCCGTATCTTGATCCATATTTTGAGTGCGGTGGATTTCCACACTAATCTCAGAGTATTGAAGGTTTCTCCTGCTTTTCCGATTCTAGCTGGCTTTGTACATCCTCATCCGTACCGCCTACAGTTGAGACGATACTACTTAGGTCACACAAGAAAAAAAGATAACTTTCTATATATTCCTCCCGTCAATGGTGATTGGTGTTTGTTTTCGTTGGTTAGGTGTCCTTATCATTTTTATTTCCACAATGCTCAGATGAAGTCCTGTCTTGAGTCTTCTGTCGGTTCGTTTGTTTTTGCCTGTAGGTCTTCAAGTTTTTAAGACATTAGACATAAATTATTGGTCCGTGGAGCGATCAGTCTTTCGAGAATATTTTCTGCTCAAAATTTCTCTAGAAATAGTTCTATCTTTTAAAAAAGTTAAACTGTCATCTCAAAACTCTCCGAGTTAAAAAAAATCTTCTGAAGTTATATGAATTTAACCATGGCTAATACATAACTACATCTCTTATGATTTACTTCCGAAATAATATTCTCCAAGTACACATTAAAAAAACACATACGAACACTAACCTGAACTCGTTCACCATCGAATTTTGTTTCAAAAAGAAGATTTAATCCTTTAATATTACACTGATTTTGTTTACCATATAATTGTTGTACTGCATAAACAAGCATATCAGCACTGTTAGCCCGTTCACACAACATAGGACGAAATGGAATAAATAGAGTTACATTATTTGAATTCGTCTCCTTAGAAACAAATGCATATGAACATGGTACATCTGCAATCCGTTCACATAGAAGACGAAGATCCTAAAAACATTTTTTTTTTAAAAACCAACAAAGGTAACTGAATCGATGAAAAATCAGTTTTTTTCTTGCAAATAACACTTCAATAGTCAATTCGCTAGATGATTTTTTATCAGTAGTCTCTTATAGTACTAAAATGATAACTGAATTTGAGTAAAACCATGTCAAGATCGGATATAAATCGGAGAACTCTACAAACCAAGTGTATCTGATTCACTCTACCAGTAAAGTTAAGAAATTCTTTTTTCTCTCAGGTACGTGTGTGTGAGTGCATTTGATTAGACTATCTAGCGAAATCTTATTTGGACATAACTGGCTGACTAGCTGAGTATCGAAGTAGAACTTTGCACAGAAGTGCAATACTTCAAGCTGACAAACTCCATGTCAACACAAAAAAGTAGAGGAAAGAGAAAAGAAATTCAGAACTATAATGAGAGGAAATCTACAGGAGAAAGAATAATTAGATGAGAAAACAAAAGGATTTAATGGGTCTGTGAGATCGCAAGGAGTGAATAAATCCGCACCACTGAGAACAATTTTGAACCATATCACAAATAGTCTCCAGTTATTGGCTATCAGCATCCCGCGGATACCAATTAGGCAGACTACACCTCTCTAAGTGGCTCAAACCAATAAACAAGGAATTTCTGCGTTGATGCAAAGTTTTAGTTTGACCACCCTTAACTCTTCTGAAACCTAATCATATGTCAGCTAACACTGTTCAACGAGAAATGCAGTGGCTCGGTAAGCATAACACACTTCCTAGTCATTGCAATTGATGTAACTTCACATTCTCATCAGTTGACCTGCCCTTCTTATCTAACACGCTCAAGCTCAATATTACTAAGTATATCACACCATTTAACAAGATAAGGCACAGACATGTACGGTCAAAAACAGCTAGCCCCTTCACATCTTCCACATTCAATGATCATGTCTCATAGCTACAAAGAAGGACAGAGTTAACTGATATGCAGTACGCATGCCCTTTGATCGATAGCCGGACATCATGTCTGTACAACAGAGACGACGTCTTCTAATGGGAAATCAAGTTTAAAAACTCATGTTATCAATGTTTTAAAGAACGATAACGGAAGCTTCAATTTGGAGAGAGCACAATATCACCAAGTTCTTTCAGAAGGTATTAAATGATAATCTTATAACAACCACAATCTTTAGAATTACTAAAGATGAAAAAATTTTATAACATGGGTGGTCACTGTTGAATACACAAAGAATATCTGTTCTATTAACCTGAAGAACCATACATCTATGGCATAGTTTAAGCCTACAGTCCTTAGGCTCAACCGATAAACCTGAATACATTGACTGGAACACTAAATCTTTTGATTGGACACTAGTAACTAGTGTGATGTGTCTAGTCCTCTCTTTGATGCAGAGTGAATTCTATCAGTCAGGTTTGCAGTGTGGCCACAATTCTAGGTAGCTCGCCATCACGGTGCACAATGATTTGATGATATTAGATAGTTGGAGGCAATCGGCTAGAAGCCTTGGAACCAGGTTTCGTGCCAGTTGGCATTCGTCAGCAAGGCATACCTGCAACTGTCTTGAAGGAACTCATGTTCCTTCTACGCCTTGCTGACGAGTGCAAACTAGCACAAAATCTAGGTCCAAGGCTTCCTGCCGATTGCCTTCAACTATCTAACACTAAATCTTTACTAAGAATCATAAGTTCGTCTTTAGACATCACTTGCATTATTCTCATTAGACAACAAATGAGTACAGTACCAGCGATTTGGTCAGGTCATGTAGCGAGAAATGTTAGGCCGTAAGCTGGTTGGAATTTTCTTACAAACCGCGTTTTCTTTTAACACTAACCACCATTCTTAAGCATACAAATCTCGTAACCCCTCAAGAAGAGAATCCTAATTATCAATCAGAATGTTAGAGCGAACAACGACACTGATTCTATGCCTAGTTAAAAAGACATACTTTTGTAAAAATAACACATTGAAAATCTATTAACCATACGTTCAGATATGGAATGATAATAACAATTATAATAATAATAATAAGCGTACATTTATTCCGAAAAACTAACTTGAGTGACTTCAAAAACAGAGATGGCAGCAGGATGAAGACATTTGAGAACATCTTTTCCACTTAGACCACAACCAGAATCTCGCTTTACAATAAGACGTACAATCCATTTTTGTTCAATAGCAGTGGTTGAATGCAACAATGAACGTAATGCATCCAATCGTTGATCAGGTGATGAAGCAGCAGCCAACTCATCAAGATGATTGTTAATATCCTTGATTTTTTTTTTCAAGTACAAAAGAGCAAGATTACTAAGTGAATAAAAGTTAATTTTGTAAAAGACCTCTACGAGGACAATGTTTCTATGAATAAAATAACAACAGAGTAGTATCAGAAATAATTCACTCCTATGATAAACACTAATTTGGTAATCCTTGTTACAGTAGATGGTTACGGCTAATACACTTTAATATGTTATGTACCTTTTCATCCCTTATTGTATAAAGCATTTAATATGTTTGCATGTTAGCCACACAATAAGCAGGTTGAAAAGGATACAACATATTCAAGAATGATTAAACTACAAGACCTACTACTATGGGTGCACAAATTAGTTTGGCTTAAATCAGTTTGTCTGTTAGAGGTAGGTATTACTGAGGAGTTTATTGGCGTCCTATACAAAAACACTTCAGGCAGGATGAGGGCATACTATCACAGCCGTCCCCACTCTCACCAGTTCTCTGAATTTGTCATTGACGACACTTTGGAGACATGGTGGAGATTTGCTGCCTGGAGAGACTTTTCGACCTTGAGTATGCAGATGCTATCGTCTCAGTGGTCACTAAAATCGCACCTAATCAGTTGGCGCCAAGTGTCTGCACGTGCGTCGGTGGCACAGTGGTTAGGACTCTCGCCGACCATGCACATGGTCCGGGGTTCGATCCCCTGCCGGCGCACACCCGATATCTATGGTATGCCTGAATTTGGGCAACCGATATCCATGCTGAAAATTCCATACTTGTTCTGAAAATACGGTGTGGAATCAAGCTGTAAATCAAATAAAAAAAAAATAAATAATAATGATATGTGCTTTGGCAACAGCCTCTACTTACACCCACCCTTCCAGATGAACCTTTGGAAGTAGTCCTTAAGTTCGTGAGTCTAATTAGTTATAAGTACTAGAGGAGTCATGGAAAACTAGATATCTAACTGGATAGTGAGAGCCAGGATGGCATACGCCAAACTGGGTCACCTGTGGCACCGTCGCGACGTTAGTCTGGTAGTCAAAGGTCGGATTTTTAATGAGTTGGTGGGCGATCTCATCCATGAAACCTAGCCCTTTTTCCTAGCTGAGAATGTACGGCCAATGTCTTTGATCATCACTGTCTCAGTAGAAATGCCTGTACCTAGTAGGATCATCGTATAAAGAATTCACAGATCCAATGATGTCTGTTTGGACATAATGGAGATTATTTTTCAATAACACGGAGTGATAAATGCTCCTTAAATGCTTTTAATAAGTATGCTTATCTGTCTCCATGACCTTGTTCCTCAGTCATTCAGTTTACTTCCATATATTATTTCATAACATTTTTTGTGTGGAGCATTTCTTGAAGCCCGTAATGTATCAAACTGACGCTTAAATAGGAATAAGGATAAGCAATACTATCAGGTTAATGCAAAGGAATCAGAGCCAATATTTTGAGTTGCTGGTTGTTTTTTTTTCGAGTAGCGTAAGAAATTCTAGGCATCTTGTCAGGATTACTCAAGTCTACCAGATATAATTTTGAACTTTAAATGATACAGACATAAAACCTAAATTATCAAGTGTTAATTCTTCATACTGATAGGCTTTAAATCAATACACAGATCAGGAGTCGAATACTTATCATAGTAAAGGCGTTTATAAAAAGTTTGCTAATACGGAAAATATCTTTTATGAAACCTAGATCGGTGTAACAAGTGTGACAGTCGAAGTCAACACACTGAAAGGAACCTCCATAGATCTTCCAATTAAATATGTTCACCGTTAAAGGCCACAGGCACATAAAAAGTTCAAAACAACAAACCTTCACAGATAAAATACTATCCTCACGACATCGAGATTTGAGCACTGCATATACTATATCAGCAAAATCAGAATGTCGACGGATAGGAGTGGTATGCGTTCTTAATAGTATACGCGCGGCTAATCCATTCGGTGCAAGGCCAATAGCTCTGATAATTAACCGCGAAAGTGTGTGTTCACGCAATCCGAAGGCTTTTCTCAATCTATCATGTGATGGAATCAGCAAACGTAATAATAAATAAAGACTAGCACGACCACAAGATGAAAATTGACTCCTTGGTTTCAGATTCAGATATTGTTCCTCCCAAAGAGATATAAATTTGGAAAGTATTCTTTCTTTTGCCTTGACCCCATTGGTCAATGCCAATTTTTCTAGTAGACGACAATATGTTGAAAGTGAAACCTTTTCTGCAATACGTGAACTTTCACCAACTACATCCATATGAAAGACTAACTTTCAGAAACCACTACAGACCGTCAGAGTTTGAAACACTTGTAATCTAAACAAAAAACGAGAAGGTAATGGAGTATAAGAATGACTAAATACTTTGTGTAAAGCATTCATATCGTCGAAAATTGTAACAGGCAGTTAAAACAAACTTGACAAGTGTCAGTTTTTCAACAGGAATAGTTTCTATGGTTTTTTTACATTGAACATATACCGGGAAAAAAATTACGGAGCAATAAGAGAGTTAACTACACGATCCAACCGTTTGATACTTAAACGTTGTAACAATTAGGTATAATGCAGCGACTAATGACTTTATACATTTATCGTATTCTAATTTCTTCACTTTTAAATATTTTCTAACTTAGTATCGCACTTCAGAACATGCATTGGACCAACTTACACACCATATGATCCAGACATTTCAAGTGATGCAGGGGGGTTACACACAGGGGGGTCACATAACTAAATCCTTATAAATACAAGTCTACGTCGCGTAGGCTTTGTTTCTGATAAACGCAATACGTATTACCAAGGCAAAGGGCAGCCTGGGGCCTCTCAAAACCCTATCCTCGATTTGTCATATTTCTGTAAGTTAAACAAAAACACAGCACTATCATCCGATGTACCTAAATTCCAAAAAGAATCAGGAATTTTAACGATGACACACACGACATATATTGAAAAGCCTAAATCAGCCATTCGCTAAAAGTCTTAAACACAGCGTAGATAAGTCACAAAATGAAGTATAGTGCATATTATATCACCCTATTCTGACTAACCATAATAGAGCTGACAGTGATGATTTGGCAAACTTTTTAGCTGAGTAGCGGAAATGACACATTCTATGTATAATAGAGAAGATTTGTAGCTCAGGTGGATGATTTGCAATTAATAGTGTTCTCTGAGCTGGTTGGTTTAGTTACGGAGCTTACGTCGTCCTTCTAGACAACATCTCCTTTCAGCGCAATATTTAGCACAAAGTGAAATGATTTAAATTTCTTCATGAGTGACAATTGCGTCTCCTGGTAACTATCTTTACATATGTATTGACCATTTTCTATTGACTTAGATTTTAAACTTTCTGGTCACCTGATTTACTTTTTATTAGTTGGTATATTTCGTCTATATTAACGTGCTTGTTGTGCGTCGGTGGTATAGCGGTTAGGACGCTCGCCGACCATGCACATGGTTCGGGGTTCGATCCCCGGCCGACGCACTCCCTTACCTCGCTGAGCCAGAAATAATGCTGGTAAAGAGGAAAGGTTAGGCATGAAGCTGGCAACCCCATCCTGTAAAATAAACATGGCTGCAGAAACTTCAGGCCACTAGCTTGAAGCCCTATGTTCCACTGGGGAACGTGAAGGAAAAAAACGTGCTTGTTAATTGCATTTTCATTTGAGTACCAGGCTTCTGGGAATTCCCTGGCACTTTTAGTGTTTTCTCTGTCTAAGATTTTGACATTATCCCAATCAAATTGATGACCATAACTGTCTATATGCATTGATACTAAAGAATACATATCGTGTCTTTTCACGGCTGATTTGTGTTCTTGGATTCTGATTCGAAGGGGACGCCCACTTTGGCCGATGTAATGCTTGTTGCAGTTCATACATTCTGTGTATCTTTTCTTTTAGTTGACAACAACACAACCTTTCGCTACCTTGAAATATAAACTCACTTAGTTGTTGCTGAGTCTTCTTACTCTCCGCAACTGCTCATGTGTCAATATTAATTATTTGGTGCTTACTCTGGAATTTGCCGGAACCCTCTCATCCTCATACAAAGTATAATCAACTACCATTTTGGCGAATTAGTTACGATATTCAAACAGTATGTTACAATTGTTATGGCAAATACGTCATATGAAGTTACAGTTACTTACAATTAGATCCGAGTTCAAATTTCACAACTTAAATTATATAATCAAGCGGCACGGCAAATAGGTGGGCTTCGATGATATTTTACCCGACGTTGCAGACGTTGCTAAAACGGTGGTTGAGTATACTTTGTATGATGGGATGACGGTTCCTGCAAATTCCAAAGTAAGCACCAAAGAATTAGTATTGATACACGAGCAGTTGCCGAGAGTAAGAAGACGCAACAACAACTAGGTGAGTTTATACTTCAAAGTAGCGAAAAGTTGTGTTTTCAATTAAAAGATATACAGAATGTGTCATTTCCGCCATTCGACTGAAAAGTGTGCCGAGTCATCACCCTTAGATCTATAAATCCCGTCTTTTGTGGTGTAACTTTCCTTATCACCAATGTTTTACAAATTAAACAACTAACTATTAAGCCAAAATCGGAGCACTGTTGAAGCAATATCTCCCTTTATTTTAAGACACATTTTGCATTATTTAACCACTACTTTCCGGCTTTAATAATTATTTAGGCAGTAGTTTCCTTATTTGACAACTAGCTAGGATATTCCGATAATATTATTCTTACTATTTTCCTAAAATCTCTTCATTTAAAACTTTATTTAACTATTCGCCGAATTTTGTCCAACAGGATTTAGCCAACTAAAAAGCAAACTAACCGCATACAACTGGACATCAGCCAACCAATCTTACCACTAACTATTAAAGATGCCTTTATGAGTAGAAAATGGTTTCTGTCGTTGTTTTAGGTAGAATAAACCACTTTCTAAACATAATTTTATTTCGAGGGGCCAATAATGTGATTGGTTGTAAGGTATCGATCAGGAGTTCCGAAAATATTCTTTGCAGTTACCAATGCATTATATAACCAAATTGAGAAATTGTTATTCCTTTAGGATAGCAGAAGTTAGGACAATATTCACATTTCCTTCATTTACAACACTAGATTATAATACAATAACATTCAAAACAGTAAAATGTCAGTAGATGAGCTTTATTTCATCATTTTTAGAAAGGAATGCCAGCGTAAATCTACTGGAACAAGAAGAGGACCTTTAAAGCCTTGTACCCGCTTACTTCAAGCTTTGCTAAGTCAGAATATACACCTCTCACGACCCTTTCACGTTCTTCCTTCTTCGTGAGTGACTGTTGCCGTTGTACGTCACAAATTAGTGTCGGAAGTGGGATATTTTGCACACAACATGGAAACATCATCCGACTATGATCTTAATAAGCTGTTTCCTGAGGGCTGTGCATTTACCCTGCAAAGTGTTCCGGCGCTTCCCCGTCCACCAACGCTGCAACTGTCATCGGTTTACTCACGCTGCAAGAAACGAATGTCACCGTTTATAACAAGTCCAGCTAAAAAGTCCTCTTCTTGTTCCAGTAGGCTTACGCCAGCGTTCCTTTCTGAAAAAGAAGATGAAAAAAGCTTATGTAGTGATATTATACTGGTTTCTATCTCATTACAATACTGTAATAAAAACAAAACCTATATTATCAATAAAATAAAACATTGATTATTGTTTACATTATATAGGTTTTGTTCACATTAAAGTACTGTAACAGGCAAACCAGCAGGCACACAGGTAATGAAAGCAGAACACTAGTTGTGCATTACAGAACGTGTGCATTAACGTATTGTAATGCACAACTGGTGTTCTGCTTTCATTGCCTGTGTGCCTGCTGGTTTGCCTGTTAGATAACTGTAACAGGAGATCACGCACAGTCACAGACAGAGAAGGAAGAACACAGAGTGCCGTGAAAGATGTATATTGTGATTAAGTAAGGTTAAAAGTGTGCGGGTACAAGTTAATTAATTATCCGTTAGAACAAGCCTGGTCAAACGCTCCTCTTCTTGCTCCAACGAGTTCATACTGGCATTCGTTTCTGCAAAAGAAGAAAAGAAAACTTATTTAGTGGTATTATACTAGTTTTTGTCCCATTACATTGCCTCCTCCATTCTGTGGGCACTGTCCTCAGTGTGTGTTGGTGGTATGGGGTATGCCGTGCCTCCGGCAGACGGCACCTCAACATCTAGGCCTGTATTTAGTATAGCATTTACCGGGGAAACGTAAGGCGGCAGACGGGAGAGGAGATCAGCGTTGGCGTGCCGGGATCCAGGGCGATACTCACAGGTAAAATGGAAATCCTGTAACCGCTCCTGCCAGCGAGCAGCCTGGCCTTCGGGTTCGCGAAGTGTTTGAAGCCACTGCAAGGCACGATGGTCAGTGCGTGCTCGAAATGGGCGTCCGAGAAGATAATGGCAGAAATGTTTGAGAAAATGGACGAGGGCCAGCATCTCTCGGCGTGTCGTGGAGTACCTGGTTTCACGTTTGTCCAGCTTACGGCTAGCATATGCAATAACCCGTTCTTGACCATCAGGCGCCGTTTGGGGGAGGACAGCGCCAATGGCAGTAGCACTTGCATCAGTATCTAAAATGAAAGGCCAGCAGATGGAGACGTGTCAGGAAATGCGAGGATGGGTGCTGACGTGAGGCGTTTCTTCAACTCGTTAAAAGCGTTTTGACACTCACTAGTCCACAAAAATTTTCGACCCTGTTCCGTTAAGCGATGCAGGGGTGACGCTATAGTGGCGAACGCGGGGACAAAACAGCGATAGTACGACGCTAAGCCCAGGAAGCTGCGAACGTCTTTATTACACTGCGGTACGGGCCAGTCAGAGATGAGGCGAGTTTTCGCTGGATCTGTCTGGATGCCATCTGGTGAAATACGGTACACTTAGACGGTTTAAACTTTAAGCCAGCAGTTCGTAAGCGTTTAAAGACAGTGCGTAGGTTATCTATATGCTCCTCCGGGGATTTCCCATGGACAGCGATATCGTCAAGATAGATTAAACATTTGTTTGGGACTAACCTATCCAGTACAACTTGCATCAGCCGTTGAAAAGTAGCGGGGGCATTACACAAACCAAAAGGCATGGTGCGAAATTCGTACAACCCAGTTGGGAGTATGAAGGCAGTTTTTGGGCAGTCTTCCGGGTGTACTTCAACTTGCCAGTACCCAGATGCTAAATCTAACGTGGAAAACCATTTCGAGCCACTCAGTGCATCGAGAGTAGAGTCAGTGCGAGGGATCGGGAAGGAGTCACGTCTCGTCACAGAGTTCAGTTTGCGATAGTCGATGCACATACGGAGAGATCCATCTTTCTTCTTAACTAACACAATAGGTGACGCCCATGGGTCGAGGAAGGTGAGATAATCTTCTTGTCTAGCATGTCCCGTAACAACCTTTCTAGCTGGGGCTGATAATGAACAGGGATGCGTCTGGGTGGTTGCTAAGAGTTGTCTAGAAGTATCGGCGTTGCATCGGGGGTGACCTGATTGTGGGGAAGGTCTATGACAGCAGAGTGTGCAGTAAGAAAATCGAAACCGAGGATCAGGTCACATGTGATTTCGGGAGAGATGAGAAAACGGTGGTAGACTACTAGGTTCCCCAGGTGTAGCTGTAGGTTGATGACTGCTTGGGCATCTATTTTAGCGCCATTCGCCGTGGTTAACACATTTTGAGTGGGGACAGGGGGTGGATGGTGGGTCAACCGGTGCAGGAGGGGTGTCCGTACTAGGGACACTGATGCCGCAGTATCCAGTAAAATCCTAGCTTGCACACCATTAACAATTCCCCAAACAGTGAGAGGTTCCTTATTACATGAAAAGGTAGACAAATTGTTAAAAAGAGACTTACTATTTTCCCGGGTGTGGTTGTGACCACACTTGCGAGCCTTCCTTCCGTAGCGTCGGCAGTAACAGTAATGGCTAGGGGTGGTATCTGCATCTGGACGCCTCTGGGACCGCGTTGAGTTGCGAGGGACGGTGCTAGGTGCAACTGCGGTCGATGCCGTTGAAATTGGGCAGGAGCTGCTGGCTGATGCTGCAGTGTCGCGCTCGGCGTCCATGAACAGCAAAATGACACGCTGCAGCTCAGTTGTGCTCGCGGGAGGGTGTCGAAGCAGGTCAGTTCGGAGGTCACCGGGCAAAACCCCTTCGATGAAACGTGTCCGCACCAGGCGGTCTCTGTGGTTGGGGTCTGCGTTATCATCTACCCCAGCTGCCATAAGTTGTAAGGCATGGAAGTACTCTAAAGGAGTTTCCCCGGGTAATTGTCGACGACTGATGAATTTCAGGAGGGCATGGTCGTAGCCCGATTGTAGATCGAAACAGTTGTCCATGTTGACTGCAGAATTGAACACCTCCGACACCAATTTGTAACAGGAGATAACGCACAGTCACAGACAGAGAAGGAAGAACACAGAGTGCCGTGAAAGATGTATATTGTGATTAAGTAAGGTTAAAAGTGTGCGGGTACAAGTTAATTAATTATCCGTTAGAACAAGCCTGGTCAAACGCTCCTCTTCTTGCTCCAACGAGTTCATACTGGCATTCGTTTCTGCAAAAGAAGAAAAGAAAACTTATTTAGTGGTATTATACTAGTTTTTGTCTTACACAACAACATCGTCTCATCATTAGATAAAGGCGCTAAATACGTCCGCTGCACGTTTCTTGACTTCACTTCTGCTTTCGACTCTGTTCCTAGATGTCTCCTGCTAAATAAGCTCTCTTTGACAAAAACTGAGTCCTGGGTCACTAACTGGTTGCATTCCTACTTCTCTAACAGAATGCAATACACCGTATACAAAGGTAAATCATCCTCTGCTGTACTCACTGAAGCCGGAGTCCCCCAGGGCGCTGTACTCTCCCCACTTCTCTTTTCTTTCTTTCTACATGACTTACCATCTTCAAATGACATTAATTTTGTCAAATACGCTGACGATCTGTCTGTATCTTTGCCTATCAAGTGTCAAAGCGACTGCTCTAAACTTAATGGCTTTCTGTCAGAAATCAGCCAGTGGTCCAAGCAAAATGGTCTTACCCTAAACCCCTCCAAATGCCAAACGGTCAATTTCACCTTTAGGCATAAATCCGACCTAAACAAACTGTTTGGCTCTTACGAGGTATGCAACATAGACGGCACTGAAATAGAAACTAAATCGGAAATTAAATACCTAGGTGTCATTCCATCTGCTGATTTCTCCTGCTCGTCTCATATCTTAGCAATTTCTAAGAAAATATTCCGTTTTACCTTCTACATTAAGAAGTTAAAACATTCTGGTATAACCCAACCCTTAGTCCTACAATTCGTTAACTCTCGCATTCTGCCTATTATCCCGGCCGATAACTGCTACCTTGCCGTGGTGGTCGGGCTTGAATGCCGCAGTGACCCAACAAGCTAAACTGGCTGGGACTCTTGTCCCTGCAGGTCCTACCATGCCAGGAAGGTTGTTTGGATAGCGGTTAGACTAAAAGCAGTTACCATGGGGTACATGGGCTCCAGAATCCAATCGGATCAAATGGCGTACGAACCCATATGGGTCACCGGCAACCATGGGATGCAGCACCTGACGCTGCTCCGCTGCCTTGCGGATTAGACTCCAAGTCAAAGGCTCGGGGGGTGGTCCCTTAATAAAACCACCTGCTTCGGTCTGGGCGCCCGGGCAGTATCTCAGCCCTCACACAATAAATGAAATGAAGCAACAAACTGTTATGGAAACTCACCGCGCGCTCTCAAAAATGATTCCAAGAAATAATGATACCTCAAGCAACTTATTTCCTTCCTATCTTACTTTTATTTTTACACATAGTTTCCTGTATTTTACCTTTGCTCACCTTGACTTCTTAACCTTCGACAGCCTTTCGCCTTTGTTTGGATTCCTAGCCTATCTGTGTCGTTTCGAGATGTTAGTGAGTAGTCCTCAAAATGGCTGTCCCCAATGTGACTTCTAACACAGATATCCTGAAACCGCGTGCTGCGTTCAAGCTGGCTACCTACAATGTTCGGACGCTGATGCAAATCGGACAACAGGCAGGGTTGGCAAGAACTTTGGAAAGCCTCGCTATCGATGTCTGCTGCATTTCGGAGACCCGCATTCAAGATCCCAGTGAAGTGCTTCGACTGTCCTCTCCATCTGGAAGTTCTAGTAGTATGTACCACCTGCGCTTATCCGGGGACCCTGCGGCATCAGCGTCCGGCGTAGCTGGTGTCGGTGTCGCACTGAGCGCTAGAGCCGAAGCTGCACTGCTCGACTGGATTCCCATTAACAGTCGTTTATGTGCTGTGAGGCTGGAAGGTTATACGAAAGTAAGGAGTAGTAGGCCAGATAGGCGGTGTCTATTTGTTGTCTCTGCCTATGCACCGACGGATTGCAGCCCGGATGCAATGAAGGATGAGTTTTACTACCAACTGAGCGACCTGTTGAAACAGGCGGGTCGGAGGGATATCGTAGTGCTAGCTGGGGACTTGAACGCACAGGTCGGGCGTCTAAGCTCAGAGGAGAGTCGTCTAGGTGGTCAGTGGGGACTACATGGTCGCAGGTCAGATAATGGGGACCGTCT